ATTAGAATTATATTGAAGAGAATATTAGGTTAATTTGATATACTAATAAACTAGTTATAGTTTTATATGAACTATCTGAATTAGAAGTCTAAAGAACAGACAAAAATATATTAAAATACTAGAAATATGCTGTGAAATAAATACTAGTGTTTAAATAAACTACAAAAATATAGCAGTTTTATGTTTAGTCCTAATTACAAATATTAGTTCTGTTATAGAAATACTAAATTAGCTATAAAAATAAATATAGAAGACTTTAAAAAGTTTATTTTAAAAATAAAATAGTTCTAAAATTGAGATAATAACCTAAGCATAACTCAGTAATATTAATACAGATTGCAAATTCAAAATATTTAAAATAGACTGCTTAAGCAAAAATGTTAAATATAGTAATTAGAAAAAAACTTTAAATAAACTCTTTAAATAAGTAATATAAAAAAATTATTTATATGTGTAGCCAATTGTATACTCTTTTTATAATAGTTTATAAAATCATATTATTAAAAAAGTTATTTATAAAAGTCAAAAAACTAAAAAGATTATTTTAAAAAAAAAAATTTATAAATAAAGAGTATAGTAATTTAAAGTAGTTAGTAAATTGTTAACTTTTAAATAACAACTTTAGCATTTAAATTCTATTTATAATAAAATTTGAAAATTATATTTGTATTATAGTATATTGTTTCTTGATAATTAGTTAAATTAGTATATTTGTAATTTTAAGTTATAATATTTTAAATAAAAGCTTAGTCATCAATATAAACTATATTATATATATATAGAAAAATATTAAAAATTAATATCATATAAGATTTTAGTACAAATTTATAATAAAACTATCAGATACAATAAACTAAAAAACTGAAGAGTCAAAAATCTACTTGGAAATTTCTAAATAAAAAAGTAGTATAAACTTTTAATAATATAATATGACTAATAAAAACTTCAAAAGATTTTTAAAATAATAAGCAGATAAACTATATATATTAATTAGATTATCAAATTTGTTAAAGAAAAAAATATCATATTAGACTATTTGAATTAGTAGTTTAAAAAGTTCTATTAGTTTTGAATAAGAAAATGTAAAGTAAAATAATATATTATAAAGATAGATACTAGAATTCTAATGAATTTTACAAAGATAAAAATAATATATATAATAATTTAATAAAAATATCTGTAATTGAAAGTGTTAGTTTAACTATAACATATTAAAAAGTGTGATGACTTAGTAAAGTAAATAAGTTGTCATTCTTTAAGTAATAGATTGTAAATTCAAAACTTACTGATAGTGAAAATTTGAATAATCAACTATATAATACTTATTTATATATTATAACAACAGCTTTTTTGTTAATTAGTTAAAATAAAATATTTATAACTATAGTTATACTAGCATAACTGGCAAGTTATGAAACATTTATATAATTTTAATTATACAAAGAAATGCAAACCAGTACTAGGAAATACAAATCTAAGATAAGTTTTCATAGCTATATAAATCTATAAAACTGTAAAAAACTAAAATCTATTTAAAAAGATCTAAGTGAAGAGATAATATAGATTTTTAATAATATCACTATAAAGGCTAGATCTAGAAAACAAATACCAATATAAAAGAGCCAAACAGGCAAGAACCTTAAAGTAAAAAGTACCATCAATTAGAATTAAACTAGAGAAAAAAAATATTATCTGGATTAGAAATCTGAGCTCAAAGCAAAAGTATGCTATAAGTACTAGGAATATGCTATAAAGTAAATACTAAAATTTAGATAAACTTTACAAAAGCTAACCTTATTAATATTTTATAAAGTAAGTAGGTAGTTAACAAAAAGATATCTCAAGGTCTTACAGTTAAATGACATGCTTTAAAATGTATAATAGCTTAACAGATATACAAAAAAAAAAGCTAAATATTGGGTTAAATAATATTTAGTTATATAAAAATCAGATATTACTTATTTGAGTGCAATATAAAGATTAGAGTATTTAAATAAATACTTTTCTAATAGATTATAGATATGACAGCTAGTGTAGAACTCTTAAACAAACTACTTAAATAAATAACCAAAAGTTATATATATAGCTAGTTGTATACTTATTTTGTACAAGTCATATATAATACATTGACTAAAAATACAAATAAAAATAATAGCTACTGATAACATTAGTTTTAACAAATAAAAAAAAAAAAACTATAACATATTGTATAAAACTAAGTTAATTGTATATAAAACATAAAAGATTTTAATAAATTTTCTATTAAAAATAAAGTACTAAATACTTTAAATATATCAGATATTTTGAATAAATATAATCTTGAAGATATTACTATAATACAAGTTAGATTTTATATACAAAAAGTTTAAATAGGCAAAATCTGTAGTTGATTTACAGATATAACATTTAGTATAAAATCTGTATAGTAATACAGTAATATATAGACAAACTATTTAAATTAGATATCAAAAATGCATATGTAACTAGTTGTAATCTTTTATATATAAATATTTTTAAAAATATTTATGTTTAATTAACTTAAATAAAAAACATTATTTTTTAAAAACAAGAACTTCAATTAAAAAAAAAACTTAAAAAAAAAACAAATTAAAAATAAAACTAAAAAAAACGATTTTAAGACTTGTTAAAAAAAAAAACTTTTTATTATAGACTTTAAATAATCAAACAAGCAGCTTACTTTTATTTAAATAATACAAGTTGCACTTAGATACTATTAAGGTGGCCAAATAATGCTAAACTTAGTTGTTAGGTAACTCTATGTAATTGCAAAGAAATTTCAAGAATTTTAAAAAATACAAGTATAATTGCTTAAAGAAAAAAAAAATTTAAATTGATTGGTTATGTCGAGAAAATCCCGAACTGAAGATCATTTCCGACCCTATCTGGATCCAGGATATTGTGTAACAAAACAAACGCGAAAAACAAAAATTGTAAAAAAAAACGTAAATAACGCAAAAATTTACTATGATAACTGACTTCCGACCTCTAAGTAAAAGTTTTCAGAATGAAACTTTACTTGCAGAACATAATTGTTAACGTTTAGATATATAGGGAATTTTTGAGATACTACGATCCATATTTTTTTTGACATAAGGAACCGTAGAATCGTCCCAATGATAGTCGTCACATTACCGTACTTGCAGAAATGCTCTGGCCAATCAGAAGTCATAATATCATGTGTTTAATTTTCATATAAATTCTGAAGTAAAAAAAATCAATCACCTCCTCTTTTTTGATCTATCCATTTGTGCTGATTTGACAATGGTAGGTGCATTGTGTGCAATGGAAAGTTTACAAAAAGTCGTTAGCACAAAATGTATATTTTCCAAGAGGGTTTCTACGTTAGTGAACACAAGATCTGAATTAATCTAATTCGAAATTAAATGAAAAAATAGACCACCAAAAGAAGAAATCACGGACGCAACAAACATGGACGTGGTCATGTCAAGCCAGTGCGGTGTTCCAACTGCGCTCGATGTGTGCCAAAGGTTACTTTAATTCAATTGTCATTGATCGCTAAAAATACAATGGAATGAATGTATGATTTTAATCGATGATTTAAAATATGAATTAGGATAAAGCAATTAAACGCTTCACTGTCCGCAACATGGTCGAGAGTGCTGCTGTTCGTGATATTACTGAAGCATCTGTCTATGAAGGTATTCGTATTTTTATATCTTAAAACACCAAAATGTTTAATTGTCTTAATTTTATATTCTCAATCAACTAGAATATGCCCTCCCAAAATTGTACATTAAGTTACATTATTGCGTTTCTTGTGCGATTCACTCTCACGTTGTTAGAGTTAGATCACGTGAAGGTCGTCGTAATCGTGCACCACCTCCAAGAGTTCGCTATAACAAGGTACATTATTTTGTCAGGAAAAAAAATAAACTTTTTTCTATGAGAACGTATATTTTTTTAATCTTGCATGTTAAATATTTCTTATAGGATGGCAAGAAAATTAATCCCAATGTCACACAAAAAGCTAGTTCATAATAGGGTTGCAATCCAAACCTCTTCTTGAATGATAGCATTATTACTTAGTTTGGACTTGAAAGTCTAGATTTCTAGTTAATAACAAAAATCAAAATTTATGTTCCATTTTTGATCAATAGTATCAAGCTCAAGCCGATCAAATTTATTTTATTTTAAATTAAGGACCAAGTGTGATTTAGCAACTAAGCAGGATTGTTAAATAAATTGATATATTAAGTCTAAAGTCTATAATGGGAATTACACAATAAGTGAAAATAATTATGAAAAATGAAATTTTTCATCCCAAATAAACTTTGAATTACAAATGATAACTTTTCGACCAATTTCTTCGAAATTTAACAGTTTTAGAAAAGCAAAAACTCTTAATGAAAATTGATTTCGAATTATTTGTGAGCATGATAGAATTACCGGTCTGAAACGATGATCAGAAGTCACCAAGGTTCATCTACAAGACAATTGAAATTGATAATAAAATAGGCATTCTTTTATAGGATTTCCATTTAAATGTTCAATGTGCAACCACTATCCAAGGCTCTAAGAAAAATATCATTTAGCTTATTTTGTTCATTGCCTGCCAATCATATTTCAAGATCAGGTGTAACGCAGAAGAAATCAAAAAATCGGTTAACTTATTTTTCTATGAAACCGCCTAATAAAAAGCTTAAGTTTGCAGAGTTGCTAATACTTTTGAACATTATTGTTAAACTGCTTTGCTTAGTAAGAAGGTTTAGATTCTGTAGTTTGTGTTAACTTTTATATATAATAATTTTACTATTTTTAACTAATACCTTTTCTTTGCATCTTTATGTTACTTGCAACAACTTTTAAATTGGTATTTTTGCATTGATGATTCTTATGATCTTTTATCTTTAGTTTGCTTGTTATTTATTTTTCTAAGACATTTTGACAATGATCCAGAATCTGTTATAAATATATATCTTAAACCAGAATTCTGTTGCTACTATTAACTTTTTATTTTAGGTACTAGTAGCATATATTTTAAGTCAGATTTCTGTTATTATTGTTTTTGCAGATGTTTTAGATTTTAACATTATTACAAGTACAAAGTATTACTTTCATTTTTTTTAGTAATATCTATAATGATGTAATATAAAATTTATTTTACATATGCTTAAGACAATTCTGGTTATATTCAAAGAGTTACACTAATTTTAGTAATATCTTACTACTATATAACATATATTTTTAGTATGTTATTAACTTAATTTAGAACAATTTAATATATTTAAAAAGTTATACTAATCTTAATAATAACATATTATTATAAATCTTATAAATTTCAGAAATTAGTAGATTTAGACTTTTTTGTTATAAACTTCTATATAGATGCAATTATTATTTAATTTGATACTTTTAGATATATTTTATATGTTGAACTATTTTTATATATTAGTCTTTAATAGTCTTTCTGTTATAATTTATTGAAGGTATTTTTTAATTTAGTAAGTTTAATCTTTTATTATAGCTCATTTTTATATTTACAACTTTTTTTATTATTTTAGTTTTTGATTATTTTAAATTATCTTTTAATTAAATTTTGTTTTTATACATTTTAATAAGACTTTTTTGTATAACCTAATAGTTATTCTTCTAAATAAGTATCTTACAAATTAGATACAAAAATATTAGTACTATTTTACTAAGAAATATCAAATATTAGTATAGTCTTTTTGATTTAAGAACTTATATATACAATACTTATATAGTCAAAACCTTTTATAATAATATTATTATACATAACACCTATACTTTACAATTAGATATTACTAGTTAAAAAAATAAAATTTAATTACAATTTGATCAAAATTTGATCACAAATCAAAGATTAAATTTTATTTTTTAATTAAATTTATATCAAATTAATCAAAAAAATCAACTATATTTAATTTAAAAAATACTAATTAGTTCAAAATTACAGTAGTAACTAATTTTAGATTAATTAATAATCTGTCAGTTATCTGAACAAAGATCATAGTGTAATGTGATGCAGATCACTATATAATTTACTATAAAATAAAATGCAGTATGCACCTATCTAAAACTTTTTTTAGTACTAAGTTAACAGTTTAAGTTGATTAATTAAAAGTTATAGAGTTTACTAAGATGCATCTAATGATGTTTAAATTATCTAAATTGATTTATTAGATACTGAAATATTATTAAAAAATGCTTAACTGACTATGTAAAATTCTATATAAAATTCTATATAAACAATAGCCTGTTTGTATAGAATTTTATATAGTCAGTTAAGTGTTTTTGATAATATCTTAACATTTACTAGACTGATTTAATTAATCTAACTGTTATTTGATGTGTCTTAGTGAGCTCTACAACTTTTAATTAATCGACTTGAACTATTAACTTAGTATTATAAAAACTTTTAAATAGGTGTATGCTGCATTTTACTTTATAATAAATTATATAGTAATATGCATTATGTTATACTATGATCTTTGTCCAGATGACTAGTGAATCATCAATTAAATAGTTAATTTTAAAATTTAATCTAAATTTAAAGTCTAATTTTAAAGTTAAATTTTAAAATTTACTTAAATTTAAAGTCTGATTTTAGATCAAATTTTAAAATTAACTATTTAATTTAAAATTAGTTATTAATTTTAAACTAATTAGTATTTTTTAAAATAAATATAATTAACTTTTTTGGCTAATTTAACATGAATTTGATTAAAAAATAAAATCCAATCTTTAATTTGCAATTAAATTTTAGTTAAATTGTAATCGAATTGTAGTTAAATTTTATTTTTTTAACTAGTATATTCTTTTAAAAAGTTTCTTATCTAAATTCATATATGCATTTAAACTTGTTTTATAAGGTTTTATATTCAATTATTTGGCTTTTTAATGTTATATAAACAAAACTTAGTTTTACTTTTAGCTGAACTTAAACTATTAATTTTGTTTATAAAAGTCTAAAAGCTTAATTATTAAGATATATAATCTAGATTTATAAAGTAAAATTATTAAAGATGATATTAAAAGAATTATATTATAAGCTTAAACTCAAAGTTAGTATTTTTTGAATATAAATCAGAAAAGTTAATTAAAAAAAAGACAAAATGTAAGAATTTGACATTATTATAAAAAATAAAAATATGCAAACTAAATAAAACAAGAAGAAACAATAATCAAAAATAAAAAAAATACTAAAGTTAATAACAATATTAACAGATAAAAAATAAAAATAGTACAAGAAAATAATTAAAAAAGACAAATATAATAAAAAAAACTTATATTTTTTTAAAACAAAACATTTAAATTCTAACAAACAGAATATATAATATAAATAATATATATTAAGTAAAAAAGTTAGCAAGAGAGTATAGCAATCTAGTAAAGTAATCAGGTTGTCAACCTCCAAGTAGTAGATTGGGTATTCAAATTCTATTAATGACAAAAATTTAGATAATTATTTATGTAATATTTGTATTATAACAATTATTACTAATAATTAAGTTAGAATATCTGTAATAGTAGTTGCATTAGTATAACTGGCAAGTCATGAGATATTTGTATAACTTGTTATACAAAAAAATACAAATCAACAAATCAGACAATATAAACACTAAATAAGTTCTTGTAGTTATTAAAATTAAATAATAAAAAGTTTATTTGAGAAGACCTAAGTAGAGAAATAGTCAGATCTTTGACAGCTTTACTGTAAAGACTAGCTCAGAAAAACAAATACCAAGGTCATAGTACCTAGTTATAGTAACTAAATAGGCAAGAACTTTTGGATTAGAAGTCTCAGAAGTATTACCAACCAGACTGTTAGAGAAAAAGAATATTAGGCTGATTTGATATATTATGGATTAATTATAGTTCTATATAGGCTATTTGAATTGAAAATTTGGTAAAAGACTGAACAAAAGACAAAGGTATACTAAAGTACTAAGATTATACTATAAAGTAGATACTAAGGTTTATGTAAACTCTACAAAAACACAGTAGTTAATAATATAACTCTAATTACAAGTGTTGGTTCTGTCATAGCAATATCTAAATCAGTTATAAAAATAAGTACAAAAGACATTAGGAGGTTTACTTCAAGAATAAATTAGTCTTAAGGTTGAGATAATGATCTGAACATCTAAATATAACCTAGTGAATTAATACAGATTACAGGTTCAGAAGGTTTAAAGTAAAATACCCAAGCAAGAGTGTTAAGTATAACAATTGGTAAAAAGCCTTCAGGTGAAATTCTTAAATAGGTAATATAGAAAAGTTACACATATAACAAATTGTACTCTCGAGGATGGCGATCCTAGTGTAGTGGTTGGGTTGTCATCCTCCAAGTGGCAGGTCTAAGGTTCAAATCCCACCTAC